TGTAGCTTTCTGGGTTTGTGCACCTGCTTTTACTGTGGATGTTGATTTTATGCAAGATCGGAATATTATTTTGTTAAAAAACTGCCACTGCATTTCTATACTACCCAAACAATCTTTTTCCCAGAATATCATTGAAGTCCAAGGGGAAAATAAATTACATTAAATAATCCTTATTTACTGCTTACTGTGGGATACATTTCCTTTGTAATGCACTAATTGGCTACATTTTGTGCTTTGCAAAACAAAATGAAACCCAAACAAAACAAAACAAAAAATGAGAAGGGATTAAATATATATTTTTTAGGTTAAAATATTCATAAAAACCAACTTTATCTCAGAAATATTCTGAGATACATAAAATATAAGAAAATTAAACGAGTCTTTAGTCACAAAATGTACTACATCCCGCAATACTAGATTCAATTAATTTAATAAAATATAATATACATATAGATTCTGCACATTGTATTGCTTTTACCTAAGCAGAACATATGCTTAAGTAAGCGTGATATAGGTTAACCACTCTTTTAACCAGCTGGTTCTTTAATCTTTCTTTGGAAATTTTTTACCCAGTGCCGTTTTGGAATACAGAGTTTTTTAATTATTTTTTTTTCTATTACATGAAAGGAAGAAAACATTTGGCACCAACAGAAAAGTAACTCAGGGGTCCGTTTCCGTTTGATCAAAGGAAAAGCTAGGAAGTGTCAACAAGTCTTTCTTTGGGGTAGGAGATGTTGACATACTGTCTGGAAGCAATGAATCCCCTATATCCATTGAATCCTTGGACTCACAAGATGGAGCACGCCGTCTCAAGCAAATGTCTCCACTGGCAGGTGAGATGCTGTGAGGTCCTCTAGGTAGTAAACTCTGTCCATCGGGTGGATCTATAGATATACATGGAGGGCTCAGTTTTTTCTTCTGCCGTGTTCCTTGCAAGCCTTCCATTTCACTTACCACCTGACTTATGAAGCCAGAAGAGCTAGATGTGGAATGGTGCTGAGGGCTGTTTTCCATTGAACAAATTTCTATTGAATGTCTCCTTTGATCATCTAACCAAGAGGGCGGTTTTTTTAGAAGACCCTGGGTGTCCACACTGTGGTATTTCTTCAGGTCCTTCAGTGTAACGTTGCCAGTATTGCCTATGTTCCTCTTAGGAGTGAGAGGCTGAACCTCTGAACAGGCACTCGAGGCTGTACAAGTTTCTGAAGTGAAAGGCTCCGAAGAGCTGTTTATTTCAGATACTTCTTGGTCCATTGAATCTCCAGGTGTCTCCTGATACGAGTCTGCACAAGCACACGATGCTGGTGCCTGCTTTGAAATATTATACTGATTGTGGGAAAGCTGCTGTGTATGAACGCTTGCCCGGCTCCATGCAGCCAACTCTAGCGCTTCTGAGGGCATCAGAGCCACTGATGACTCCTCCTTGGGCACAGCGGGGACATTTGGGTCAGAGAGTTCACTCACCTCGGTGTGGAGATTCTCCTTGCTATCCAAAGAGTCGTTCCTTATAGCCATCTGTATCGGAGCGCAAAGGGATCGGGGAGGAGGGGAGTTGCCAGATGAGAGAGACAGACCAAACAAAGGTTAGTACAAGCAAGGCACAGCATTTACAGGGCACTCAACTCTGCTGAGATACTTCAGCACAGACCCACTGACTCCTATAATGACCTGTGTTGGGAGTTCTAGCAATTCCCATGCTTCAGAGATCTGTGGGTTTGTCCCCGTGTAAGTGACAGTAGAATTTGGCCCTTCATTCTTCATAAATGGTTGACCTTTAGCTTTGTCCTCTAAGGATGGAGGGCTGCAAAAACAGAATGCCCCCACCTAAAATTAGACATATTCTTGTTAGGCAAAGGATGAGGGATGAGCAAAGCCCTTTATAATTTTAGCAGCCCAGGTATGAGTGGGAGAGGGGAAGATGTGCAAGTGAGCCTGTGTATTCCCTTCTCTAGCTCAGGTGATGCTGAGGGCATGGAGCAGCATCCCCCAGAGCCAGCGACGCCAGAGCAACAACGCTCTGTGCCAGCATCAGGGCAACAGCCTGTCCCTGGCTTTGGTCCCCAGGCTGGAGCCATGACTCTGCACCATCTTACGGCAGGGGAGCTGGAAAAGCTGGAGTCCAAAGTTGGACTAATAATAATAATAATAAACTGCAATTATTTCAACTTATTCTGATGCTTGAGTTAAGGCTTCCTAAGGGACATTTTGCCTTGGCTGTCTTGAGCATGCAGCGTCAGTGCCTGCTGGCAGAGAGAACCTATGGCATGTTTTGAAGTCTTTGTCTGTTCACTGCACTGCATCCCCCTGTCAAAAGGATTTATAAATCAGCCACATTAACTGGTCCTTAAAGGCAGAGTCTCAGTTTGAGAAGACTCTTAAATGATCTTAAAGATTAAAAACTTCACGGAGAAATTTGGCGGAAATGCGTACAGCTGGTCTCAGTCCTTTAGAGAAGTGTAAGGAGACAAAATTCCTCATACTAAGGAATGCTTTTGTGACGAATTGCCCCAAAATGATCTTAGAATTTATATAAAAATTGTCCCGCAAGTATTGTTTGAGCCAAATGATCTCTATTCACGCAAAGCTCTCGTCAGCTGCAGTATGCACATGTGTGCACGCAAAAACACAAGAGTCTATTGCTACATCTGCACATTGGGCTCCCTTTGTCGAGTTGAGAGAATATTTAATACGGCAAACAATTTTGTTCAATGCTGGTGAAGCCTTTCTAGTTAAAATTTTACAGCATAATACTGGCAACTAACCACAGTCAACAGTGGAGCTAATTCTGGTCTCCTCAATGCCAATAGTTTTAGTGAATGTTTGGGAGAAGAAATCACGTTCATATCCTGAGAAGAAACACAGACCACAAAAAAGTAGAAGCAAAAAGTAATTATTGTCATTACTTTTGCTTGTACACCAACCTGTGTTGTATACAATGACAGTTATTAGTCACCATCGGCTCTTTCTTTCCCAATCTTTGGTAGTTGTTAGTAGTAACTGTTTGTACAAATGTTTTACTGGTTTGTTTCAAAATAAAAGGACCCTCTGCCATCCCATTGGGGTGTACACCTGTAGTAGCCACAGCTTGGTGTGGGCTACAGCTTGGATACACGGTCCGGGAACCAGAAAATCAATATAGTTTTAATTTCAGGTAGAATTCCTCTGGAGAAAAGCTTTTGTGCAATGCACTGCCAAGGAGTGTATTTGTCAGCAGGGAATGTTGTCTCAAAGCATCCGATCCACTCATCTTTATCTGTGAGTGCATCGCTAATTGTCAAACTTTCCAGAGTCTAAACTGCACGTTACTGTGGGGACTGTGTTCACTCTCCAGCACTCTGGAGGGAAAGGGAGGCTAAACACACAGGTTTTAAGGATGGAGGAAAGTGCACGGACCAGGTATGTGGTGGACAAGATTCATCTATACAGAAATTTAGGAAAGGAGAGGGGACAAGGGGGAAGGGAAAGGAAAGAAAGAAAAGAAAGAAAAGAAAACAAATCAGAATTACATGCAATATATGTAACAATAAGGAAAAATGGGTACTGCAAACCAAAGTGCTTTGCTAGTTTGGGCTATTGTGATGTGCTAGCAACAAATTAGTGGTGGCAATAAAAGGAGCCAAGCAGAGAGCGCTTGAGCAAGCAGAAGTGCCGGGGGTGTAAAGGGAATTTTGCCTCTTTAAGGACTAAGTTTCACAGTGTCTGGCCATCTAGATTGCAATTAACAGTAACAGCAATGCTGCCCTGTTGCCAGGAACCACCTTACTGCTCCCATTAGCCGCACTGGGAGCTCCTTGCTACTCAGGAGCACGCCCAAGGCAACACCTCACTAATGTTCGGAGGGATCTGTCCGGCCCATGGACCATATCTGCTCACTGTCCCAAAGCTTTTTTCTCTCTGGAATGTCACTCCAAGAACATGCTCATGTCACTGCATGAGCAGAGAGAGGAGGGAGGGGAATAAATTAACTTATTAACTTATTAACGTATGAAAAGGTTTAGAAGCCTTCAAAGATATGAACAAAATTAGGCTAAGGAAGATGGCTAACATGGTAATTTATTCTAGATAGATCAGTTCAAAAGGATAGGTCTGTTATTCATTAGAAAGCAAGAGAGAGTGGTTATGAACTGGAATCATGACATCAATTAGTTTTCCCATTAGCAGTGATTGGGGTAGCTGGCCAGCCCTGTGCAAACGAATATATGCTAGGAATTTCTTATGTCAGTTCAGTATTACAGACTAATGTAATTGTTAACCTTGGTACTTCACATTCATTTTTAGAGCTTAATGAATCAACTGTTTAATTTGTCAATGTTGATTAAAAGATGAAAGAAATGGGAATATTTTCATGCAGGAAAGAAATTGCTTTTGAAAAAATAGAACTGATCTATTTTGTGTATATAAAACCAGGCATGAAACTACTGAAGAAAGCAGAATTTGGGAATCAGACATGCCTCTGGTCCTGATCCAGCTGCACAATGAAATATGCTTAAAAATGTGAGGGTGAAGCACAAGTTTAAGTATTTTACTAAAAAAGATAAATTTAAACTTATGCTTCCAATCAACCAGACTGGAATCTTTGATTAGATCTCTTAGATCTTTGGTTGAATCAGGATTTAAATCAACACCAGGCAAAAACCAGAGATAAAACCAGTTGCAAAATAAAATGTGTTCTGTTTTGCATATACTCAAACTTTTCAAAAGCACACAGGAGATTCAAAAGGATCTTAATTTTCAGTTCTCACTGTAAAAACAGTATGCTCTCCATGACGGTTTTGCATACAAGATATCCAGCTTCCTTTAAACAGTTTTCCCCTTTCGAGAAACCAGAGGAGCCAGAGGAAGGGTGGCCTGGGATGGATTCTGGGTTTGTCCTTTCAAGCACTGAGAAAATCACAGCAGTTAAGAATTAGTTCCTTAACCCCAACGAGCCCCTGGGGAGCATTTAGCTGCATTTATGAAGAGGACTGAAAAAAATAAAGTGCTAACAATGTGGAGAACATTTAGGCATGTTGCCAAAGGAGATGATACTCATCACGCACATTCTTTGGAGACTCATGGATGGCTTTCAGATCAAAATCCATCAACGTTTTTGTTATTTCTGTAGGAGAATTACAGTTCTCCGGAGGTTTCTCTGTGAATCCCTCCTTGAATTTAAAGCATGGTTAACCTGGAAACATGACAATATAAAACCTCAGCAGGTTCATGATCATAAGTCTGCTTACCTGTCTGCGGAGCAGCCTTTCAGCAGAAGGAGAGTGCACCTGCCGGGAAACCTGGGGTTTGCTCTCCCTCACCAAATGGTCATGAGCTCTTATGTGGTGAAAATGGTCTTTTGGAATTTGCAGGAGAGAGCTGGTGTCTGCCGGCTGTGACTGTACTGATGTCTTTGAACCTTGCAAGAGGGAGAAGAGACAGAAATGTGACATGTTCATCTGGGGATTGCGTCCCAATCTCAATGACCTTTCAGAGAAAACTGCTCTGTTGCACCTTGGACCAGACAGGCATGGCAAAACCACCGAATTCAGCAACTGGCTGTCCATGATTGGGAAAAAACTCCCACCTACTAATAAATTATTCCAAAATTGTCTATTATTTCATTTTTCTTGGCATTTTCCCCTGGTACAACTGGGACTAGCTCCTGTTAAGAACAGAAGATTATGAACTAAAAGTTCATATGGACTGGCAATTTCTACATCCCTGTTTTAGGGCCAATAACTTTGCAAGCAACCACACATCTTAGCACCGCAAGGATCTGACTTTGAAAGACTCTAGAAGAGGATGTCTCCATACCTGAGCGTATATGGAGACCGACTGCTGGGATCTCAAAACCAGCATGCACACTGGAAATGAAGCGAAAGGGAATGGCACCTGGCAGCTTTCAAGGCTAGTTTTACAAAGCATCCCAGGAGAAGGAAATACATACTCTCCAGCCTCTTTCTGACCCTTTGTGGTTGCTGGCTACTTCTTCTAAAAGGTTTGAAACTCTGCATGCTCCGCCCTCCCCCCCCCGCCGGCTCAACATTTTTCAAAACAATTCATTTAACCTGGACCGTATCCCAGAGAATCTCATTTGTCCTGGAATCTTTCCCAGAACAACAACCCCATTACGAAGGAGTATTCAAACAAATACCTCCTGCAAGTGCCAGTGTTTCTGACAACAAAACCTTTCTCAGCTTGAAATATTATGGCTTAGTTGTGGTGATTTATTAGAGGCGCCTGGCACCTTTTGCTATCTTCACAGCACTTTATAATATTACAAACTGTAAACAGGTAGGGGTGACTTCCCTCACCCTGAAAAGCAGTGACATTGTAGGTGGAACAGGACAATGATGCATATGCCAAGATTTGGGCACCTTACCCACCTCTGAGCACTTTGGCCTGCTTAAGACGATTGGAATTTCACCAGCAGGAGAAAAACACAAAAGGTTTAATTGCTTTATGTGGTTATGAATAAGACATCAGCTTTACCTTTCCAAAATACTTCTCCTACATCTCAGTGGAACAGTTTTTCCTGTGGATTTACAAGGGTGCAATGCCAGCCCCCGCCCAAGCCAGGGCTGTCAGATGGGGCTATTCAGTTCTCCAAGCTGGAAGTGCAATCTTGAAGAAAGAAGGGACTCAGAAATTACCCACGTTTTGGTGAAGTTGATACAGTTTTTGTTCAAGAGGGGACAAACGCAGCCAAATTAAGGGCCAAATATGCAGCACTGGAAAATCCCTCTGTAGCAAATGGGATTCTTGCATATGGTCAGGGATTATAACTCCAAGGCATTTCCTGGCTGTTAGAGAGAGCCATAAATTCTGGCTCTACTGGAGGTAATGGGCATTTTGCTATTGACTTCAGTGGGATTTGAGCAGGATTTTAGCTGCACCTTTTGCAAACAGGTTCTTCAAAGGACAGCTCTTGACCTTGAACATTTTGTATTATGGCAGTTATTTCTCACAACTCTAGATTCATCTTCCTCCGTTGTGTCCGCATTTTTTTCTGCTGTTCAACAGTCACTATTCATCCAAATTCTTATTACTATGCAAATTTCAACATCTTATTTCTAATCTGTTCAAATCTCCTACCATTCTGAACAGTGCTGAAATTATGTTCTGCTGAGAGGCTTTCAAATGACAATGCTTGTAAAAACTTCTCTGTCTTATCTGTGACAAATGTCTAAAATGATGGCATGTACAGAAGAATTAAGGACAGCTACATTCACTTACCAGTAGAAGGTAACCCCTAGCAGACAGAGTAAATGAAAGCACATGGATAAGCATCGGGAGGCAGTTGCAAGTACAGGTACAGAGGTGCAGGTAGAGAGAGAGCCCTGGGTATCTGCAATATGCTGTATCTAAGAATATCTCTGAATTTAGCTCTAAGGCGTATATCCCAACCACGCACACTGGGAAGGACAATTCTACACTCTCTCATTTTTCCATTCATCTCACACTGAGATCTCTCTCAATTCAGCACATTTATGTTCATTTTACAGGCATTCAGAGACACCATTTTCCCATCTTTCACAGATGTTCCCATATAGAGCTTCGAAAACCTGCTAGAATAGGTACTGCTGCAAAAAAACAGACATGAGGAAATATTTTTCTGCTGGGATTTTTGTTCTGGGCTCAGGTGAGACAGATGGAGCCCAGGCTGTATGGACTGTAACCTTCAGGGAACCAGGCAGGGGGACAATCACCGTTGAGCCAGGCCAACTGCTCATTGTCACACTGCCAAAAAGTTCAGAGGAAAGGAGTTATCTTTAACAGCCTGGACTTTGTAAGTTGTGGAGGATCTTTGCAAGTTGTGGAGGGTCTTTGCAAAGCCATTCCACAGGTCTGGACACCAACACGTCACTGGAAACTGATGGCAATTTGCTGCCTCCTACTGAATAGCTTGGAAAATCCCAGCTATTGCTATATTGGAAAATCCTGCTCTTGTCCCAGCTGACAGATGTGTACCTGACTGGCACTTGTGATGTGCTGGATTCCTCTCGCCCAGGGAGGCAGGGCAGGGGCTGGAGTACGGTGGCTGGAACATGTAGCTGTCATTTGGCAAAGAGTGGGTGCGCCCCACCGAAGGCTTTCTCACGCTCAGCAAGTCCTTGCTGGGAGACAGGGTCAGCGTGTCGTCTTTGGAGCGGAGATCAGCCTATGGGGAAAAATACAGTGAGGAAGGAAGACATCATGGGGTGAGAAGAGGAGAAGTGCCCAGAAACGCTAGCGACAGCCATTGCAATCAGTATGGCACGATGGGCATGCACATCGTCAGTATGTACAAGTTGCACGAATGGATCTACCAGGAAGCTATACCCCTCATTTTGTATTGTCAATAAATTGTCACACAGAATGAACCACAGAAACAGAGGAAGCAACACTGTAGTAATAAACCATGACTATTTCAGGGATATGCAAAGAAGGCATCATGCCTCAAGGCCAGCAAAGGTCACATGCTTTGCATAACTTTAATCCTCTGCAATAACAGTAAAGCTCTCTCTACGTGCCCTCATCAGCAAGTCAGACTTTTGCAAAGGTGAGTAGTTTCCTCTTCTAACAATAAAAAAAAAACCCCACAAATACAAAAACTAGTTTACAGAAAATATTCTATATTCTGGCTCCCAGCACAATTTTATTGGTTTTTCTTCTCACATAATGAATAACTAAACCCATTTTATTGAAAGGAATATCTAAATCTACTGCTTCAGGGTTAAAGCCATTCTCTAATTAGGAGGGATCTAATGCATATTGTATATATGTTGACTGTGGAGTTTTTACAGCCAAGGAGTCTCTTGGAATGGGCAGCACCAGAGGCAATATCAAATGAGGTGGATTCAGGTCTGATTTCATAAGGAAATATCTCCATCCCAGAAATGTTCTTGGGTGTTATTATGTTGGACAGTATTAGCAAAAATGGAAGCAAAGTCAACTTCCCTGGATATTTCTAATGAAAGAATTACCTCATCTTTAAAAGGTCTCCATTGAAAATCAGAGAAATAAGATGTGACACTGTAGTCTGATACAGTATATTGCTGATCATTTTTGGAAAACTTTAAATCTTCTTTTCTGACAAATCTTCCCTTAACTCAGTGCAGTACAGGTTTTCTGAAATCAACACTGAGATTTTTTTCCCAATTTTATCCTTCAGTCATAAAAACAAAATTTCACCATGGCATTTCGTTTGCACAAGAAACATGATGAGATTAAGTGGAATCTCCAAAAAGGAAAAAAAAAGGAGGAAAAAAGAAGAAAAGGGAAAAAAAAGGAGGACCGCTGTTGTAAATTTAATGAAGGAAACAGATCTGCACTGTCATGCAGCATTAATTTCAGTCCTCAGGAACCTGCTGATTTGGATATAGCCTGGATATAGCCTAGATAAGAGAGACGGCAGTCTCCTGACATAGCTCAGGGAAGGAGAGCAAAACCTGTGCTGGTAAAGCCAAGACTGGGTTTTGGGAACCTCTCTGTTCCTCCCCTCCCTGCCTTCCCCTTCCGAGCAGTATGTTTATGCTATTTAGCTTTCATATTATTTAGCTTAAAACAAAAAAGATGGCCTGAAACCTGAGATTTCAAATTCAAAACCATTTGGATCTGAACACGAGAATTTGGATTTGACATCCTACCCCAAACCCAACCTTTAATGAACCTTTATGTTCATTGACAGGATCCAATACCACAGCGGGCTCGTTTCCACTTTCTGATCATCTCAGGGGAAATCTCATGAGTGAATCTCATTTAAAATGTCTGCAAAATGATCTTCTGAGTCCAGCTCACAAACAGAGCAGTGGGAGCACATGATTTTTTGGTTCACTGATAGTTTTGAAAAACATGTTGTTTTGGCTTGACTGAAAATCAAATCTGAGTTTTCTGTGAACCAAAAAAAAATCCCAACCCAAATCTATTTTGAGTCAAACAAAACATTCTGAGATATTTTTCAACTAAAGCTGTGTCTTTTATACTAAAGTATAAAAATATTGCCTTTAGAAAAGATTTGAATGAAACCTTGCAGTTTTTCAGGAGTTTGGGAAATTGTTTTGACCAAAACACTTTGTTCGTATTGACACAAATTCACAAAACGTTTTGTTCAACCTGGTTTTGTTTTTTTTTTTTTTGAGAAAAACCATCTCTTTTGGCTATACCTTTGAGACTTTGCTAAGCTGTCAAACAGGTTTGTCTCAGCTGATTCAAAACTAGAAGGGCTCTCTCCTCAGTCCAGCTCTCCAGACTAGCTAATTTTGAAGCAAAACGTCCCATACAAAATGTTAAATGTAGTTTACAAAATCTTTTGCACATGATGCCATGAAGCATGATGGGAAATATTGTCACGGTTTAAGAGATGTTTCCCAAATAAGTGCTAATTAGGATGACAATTGACTAGAATGGCAGAAAATTTATCAACAACACAAACATCCAAAGGCAGGTACATGAACAACAACAAAGAAAACAAAAATGATCCAAAAATGTTGGAAGAGGAGTTATGTCTGTTGTACAGCAGAAAAAAGCACTTGACCGCTACACAGCTAAAAATGTCTAATGTTTCAAAGAGGAGATGGTTAAGGCAGGGTTCAAAATACTGGTTATTTCATTCAAAAAGACACAAAACAGTCCAAATTTTTTTTTTTCCCCCCAGCAGGATGACTGCTAGTAAGAATTCACAAAACAAGCAGCATCTCAGAGACATCCCCATCTGATATTTGTAAAATAAACAGTCTGGCACCAATCATGCAAAAAGCCTTGTGGTGCCTGTGTTCATAAAGACAAAAATCCATTACAAACCAAAGGGTTGTAGATGACCCCTCAGCAGAGGACACATGAGTCATTAGCTCATGGGTGTCTCTTCCACACAGCATCACTGATTTGTTTCAGATGGGGAGGAAATTTCAACCTTGATGCTTTCCAAAGCATTTTTTTACTATTTATTTTACTTGTAGAAAACACATTGTTTTTACATAAGACGCCAAAGGAAAAATAGAAATAAATACTTGTTCCTCGCAAGGAGCCAAGTTCGTGGACAAGTGGTAACAACCCAGGACCTAATGGCATTAAGGACAATGTCCTGTTCAGGGCAAAAGTTGGTGCTACTTGGAAAGCGGCCTGAACTGAAAATGCCATTAGGCAGGTATAGAGAGGTGGAAACAGTATTTCAAACCCTGTAAACATCAGACTAGACAGCGACCAGTGTATGTACATTGCTTTCCAGAGCATTAAGTAAGTGTGTGTTAGTATCATCAGGAAAAGAGTCATCCGTCAGAGCTAAGGACCAGGATTTTTCAGAGAGAATATCTGACGTCAGAGACAGAGCCTCCATCTCAGCTAGAGGGATCTAAAGGGAGAGATGATTAAGCATAAGAAACCAGGACACAAATCTTTAGGAAAAGAAAAAAATTATCATAATCTAAATACTTCTAGACACTAAAGCAATATCCCTGCAGTGGGAGATGCTACATCATGCACATTGTTACCGGGGACAGAATGTTAAAGAAACGAAATATAACAAAGAAATGAAAAAAAAAAAGAGTGGGACACTCATACTTAAATGCTTACCAGTGAGCTGGGAGGGAGTTTAAAACCATACACTAATGCTAGCATTGTATTTTGTTGTTCTCCTGTCTAGATGAAGAAGCAAAAGTAACATTACTTTCATACTAAAGATATTTATCCTCTTGGCTATGATCAAATACAAGAGGCTTCAAGACCTTGCAATTTCTCTGAAGTTGTTCCTACCCAATAACCATGCGTTTTCTTGGCCTCTAAGCTAATCTGGTTGAGTCCCCAAAGATTCCCCAACACCAAAGTAATTTTGCAGGTGGAGGATGGAGCGTGCCTTTCCCTGTGCTCTGGGGAGGGCACGGGAACCTCCCCCTCCCCGAGAGGCAGGCGGGACTACAATTAACTTCCTAACAGCTAAACTTTGGGCTGCTAAAGAGCCTCCAGTGCCTGGGTAAGCACCAATAACTGTCCTGCTAAAAGAACCGCCTGCGTCTTCCAGCCCACAAATGCCAGCCCAGCCCTGGCCCTCACCACCCCCGCCAGCCCCCCTACTCTGAGCAAACCCGAGCTGGGAATAGGTGCTGCACTGCTGTACAGATGCATCTTGCACAAACGCATCCTCTCTGAAGGCATTCAAGTAATTGATAAAAATCTTTATCAAAATATTGATGAAGCTCTCTCCCTAGACACAGAGCTCTTTTTATGAGAAATGTGAAACGTCACTTCAGGTTTTGGAGAGAAAGGGGAAAAAGGGGACTGCAGTGTCTCTGCCAGAGCAGCATCCCTTCTGCCAGGCACCGCAAGTAGGGGTGCTTGCCCTGAAGTGCAGGCTCAGCCCTCCCCAAATCCCCACCTCGGGTACGTGTCTGAGGCTGGTGCCCGCGGCAGTGGGAGCGCGGCACTGGGGACAGCATTTCATCGGGTAACCTACAGACCTGGCTCACACTTGCAGGGGCCTCCTGGTCTGGATAAGTCCCAGGTGCTTCCTTTCCGTTTCTCACTGTGCATTTTTTTTTCCCTACCCTCTATGCTTGAAAAGTCTTTCAACAGTAATATATCTTCCAAGAGAAATCACAGAGGCCCCGATCTGTTGCACTTAAGTTGTCAGAGGGCTGGATTTTCTCACTCTTAGAAATGGCATCAGTGGGGTGAAATAAACCCAGTGATGAGTGAACCCTGAGAGGCTCAAAACTTCAGCTGAGATAAGGAAGAGGGTCGGGCTTCTCTCATCTAACCTTGGGTTTGATTATCTCCTCTAACACAGTCATCCGCTGGCAATGGATGAGAGAGATGCTCCTGATTTCATACGAGGCTCCCCAAAAAAGCATCGCTGCAAAGGTTGCCAACACGAGGACGGTGATCCCTAATGGGGACAGATTCAACCCACCGACTGGAGCCCAAGCACATGGGGAAAGGCTGTGCTAGAGCATGGTGGACACCAGCAGCTCCTGCCTGATGGAGCTGCTCTGCTGGGAGCTGCTATTAATCAGGTTGCTTTCAGCAAGTCCCAGCGCTGCGCTAAATTCCTGACTTGCCTGAGAATATGACAAATGGTGTGAACAGGAAAGCCAAAATGTAAACAAAACATCACCCCCCCTTCAGCCTCCCCTCTCCCAAAATTGAGTTTGAAGCCATCAAAACATTTTGTTGGAAACATTCAACTGATTTATATGGGTTTTAATTACAGGGGGGAAAAAATAAAATAGCTTAAATTTTAAAAGGAAAAGCCATTGCAAACTGGAATGCTATATTTTTTCATTATAAAAATGTCAAAACAAAACCATTTTTCTGCTGCAGCAGCACTTTCTGGTGAAAAATGTTGTGACAAAAAATTTCCAACCAGCTCTCACTGAGTTTCATACTGACCCTCTGCCTTCCCCGCCAAAGCTACCGTCTCTATTCCTCCAGCAATTCTTAGAGGCAACCACTTCCTACAGCTTAATAGACCTCAATCTGGAAAACGATACACAGCAATCAGAGGGAGACATGTTATCCCGCTATATAAAGATCTGCAGTAGGATTTCATTTTACCTAAGCTTGTTCCTTTCCTCTAATGAACCACTGAGTTAGATAATTTAGAGTGTCAGTGAGCTCATAAATAAGCACACGGATTTAACAAGAAAACTTCTGCTATTTTCAGCCAGAAAGCAAAAAAAAAAAAAGATCAAGAAATATGAATTTGCTCAATTCCAACTGCAGGAAAAAATAGGTATGCTTGAATTATTATTATGGTCACTGCTGTGATTTAGGGAAAATATTTGCTCTAAAGAATAATACGCTTGAGGAAGTAGGTATTTTATTCTAAGTAGTAAATGAACTACTTTTAAACAAGTATTACAGCCCCTGTTCGAGAAAGCACTGGAGCACACGATTACTTAAGTACATCATTAAGGGCTGCCTCGCCTTCTAAATTCAGTTTAGATCAGAGATGAGGATCTAGTTTACAGTGACCCACTTGCAAGAAGCCTCTTTAGGAAAATTACTCGAAACTGGATTTTCATGCAGTGTAAGTAGGCACAAAATGTAGAGATCATTTTATGATGCCCAGCAGCTCAGGCTCTGCTCTGGGAGAACCTCGTACTGGAGTACACCGTACTCCAGGCTCTGCAGACATGTCTTGAAATTGCTATGGAGCCCTGGTTAGGAGCAAGAAACCAAATACAAGAACCCCACTGAAGGATGAAGATGGGATTTTGTACATTTTTCCCTGCAACACTTGTGAACGGTAAATCCCAATGAAAAACTTCTTACTGTGTTGAAGAGGGAAACTCAGAGCCTGTACTTTTCCTCTTGCATTGATATACAACACCATAAACCAAGATATTATCTCAACTCCCACAGAAAAAGCCAAAATGACTTATGCTTCAAAATCCCTGTGACTACATTGCATAAAGTAAAGAACTTTAACTCTCTATTAAAGGTCTCAGTCAAATCAAGTTTGGATGGAGACTTTGCAGGAAATTAGGAATATTAACCTGGTTCTCAGAGTTGTAATATTCGGGAGCTGGGAGGGCATAATGATGGCACACAGAGCCTGACAGGTTGTCCATCAGCTTCAGCTCTCCTTCCAGAGATTCCTGGATCAGCAGTGATATGGTATCAAACAAGTGCCTTTCCTAGGAGGGGTGGTGTATAGCATGCAGAAAGAGAGAGCAAGCCAAAAAGAGAGAGGAAAAAACAGCAAGGGACAGAGACAGAGAGAAAAAAGGACAGTGTATAAAACCCAACAAACAAACAAACAAAACAGAATAGAAGGGGGGAGGGGAAGATGGAAAAGTTCAGGGAGAATAGCAGTAACGGAAACAACAGGACAGGAGAGGTGAGGCAGGAGAGGAGAGAGAACAGTGCAGTAATATCACGGTGAGCAGTGACAGCTTTCTCAGACATTACTAGAGATGGGGCTGACGCCGGCTGCCCCGGGATCGTGGCTCTGGGCCCTCCTCGGGGACAATTCTCGCTCTCAGGAAACACGATGGTTACTCCTGGGATCTGAGCTGTATAATGGGGCTGGTATAGCAGCATCTTGATAGTTGGTGCTGTGAACTTCTACAGGACACTACTGCTGTAAGGTTTCTGTACCCATTGTCCACATTTTTGAGCAAGACCTAATACTTGACACCTAAATCCATATCCAGGGGTCACATAAATTAAAATAAACTGACTTGAAGAGAAGCTGAGCATCCTGTCCATACAAAAGCTGCAGATGCCCAGGATGGACACACGTCAGGTCACTAATTCATGTGCCAGACATGGATTGAGGTGCCTCAGTTGTCCTGGCCAACTTCAAACCAGCTGGCCACAGCACAGACATCGGGAGATTATACAGAGCAGGGTCTGGCTTTTGCAGGCAGCATGGGAGCAATTTAAGGGTTGCACCTTTCACGTAGGGAATGCCTACTACATACAATGAAATGAGGACCGTCGTTACAGTCAAACAGCACACAGTGCAAAAATCCTGGGGAACAGGCAAGCAAAAGAGCATGCTGACCACATGTCCTTGCAAGGTCATGTCCTGGGAATTGTATTCCTCTGCTGTCGTGCTCAAGCATCAGATTTTTCCTGAAGATTTTGGCTGGGAGAATAAATAGTCAGAATAAAATCTCCCGGAGGTTTTTTAGGCTTCTGTTTGAGTGAAAGAGCAAGAAACGCACTCTGGAGATTATGACTAGAATAAGCCCTTTCCAAAGCCACCTTCAGAGAGGGCAGGTTTAAGAGACTGAAGAGCTGAGGGTATCCAAAAAAAATTTGTCTTGCAATTTCTCACTTTGCCAGTGTGAGGACTGATGCAGGACAACAGTGCTGAGGACAGTTTGCCAGTACTCTGCTTAACATGTACAACAACAGTTGGGACATGTTGTTTCTTCCTAGAGGACGTAATGAGTCTGGATTTCCCCATATTGCCCTGAACTCCTTTTTCTTGTGCCAAAGAGCAGCTTTGGACTCCATCTCAGACATCAGTGACTCCTAATGGCACCAGAAATTTCCAGTAGCTTAAGAACTGAAACAAAGCTTAAGCAGGGATTTACTCTTTTTCACCCTTGGACTAAAGATTATAAATGAGTTTTTCATGCATTAGAATACTCATTAATCCACCCCAGGCAGAAGCCAAGATACGCTGTTGTGAAATCATGATGTAATAAAAGCTAATGAGGTCTGTGTAGAGTTTAACCCAATTTGCAATCAGCTAAGACTAAAAAAAAGGCTGGACCGTTTTTCTTGTATAATTCCAGTTCAGTTCCCTCCCGAAGGACCCTGTCTGGGTCTTGACCTCACCTCTCTCATTCCTCAGACTGAGTCTTCATCCAGAAACTGCATTTTAGAGAGACTTGTTGCAGCTCGTAGCAGCTACCACATTACAGCCCTGCTCCAGCACTGCTCCTGCTGGTGGGAGTTTTGCCACCAGTTCTGGTGAGCTCAGGTTTGAGTCCCCACTGGATTATTCTGTTAAAATAATCTTTTCTTACAAGCTTGATTATGGGGATGGATTTTAAATTGAGGTTGCATAAAACAAATTTAATACTTAAGCAAAGATTACCCAGGTTTTATTCCTTTTTTATGTTGTGGTTCATGGTCTGCATTAGAAAAGCAAACACATTATGCTCATGATTTTGCTATCACAAAGGACCTAGCCCAAACTCTGGATTAGAGCAAATTTGGAGCTATGTCTGAACTGGGTGGCTTGGGCACATCTCCAGAACAAATTGCAAAGCTCTCTACCTCTGAACAGATGCGTCAAGGTGGTCTGGAGGCCTGCCTAGGGTCTCTTCCCTGGAGCATCGGTTCCCACACCACGCGTCAGCAGACAGCAAGGAATACAAGCCCTGGACATACAGTACACCCACTCCTTCATTACTGACTCGTGCATGTCTTCCCCTAGCAAATATGCAGGTCAAGCCCTCTTCACCCTCCAAACTGAGATTCTCACCATAGGGTAAACTAATGAGAGCTGAGAATCCACCTTGATTTGCATGGGATTGGTACATCCACGGGGGCTCTCAGGTCTCTCTCCACCAGCGCCACCTGTCCACGCAAAGATGTCCGAGGGGCTATGTTGGCCGGGGGTGATTGTCTTCATTTCCATCTCCAGTTCTGCTTCGAGCTCTGCCTCCTCCTTAGCCTCCTTGTTGCTCTCCTCCAAGTGCTTCATGAGCACGGCGATCACCACGTTCACCAGGACAAACTGGGCCGTGAGCACGAAGGAGACGAAGTAGATGGGTGAAATGACAGTGTTGTAACAGGTGGACTCCTGGTCACAGTCTCGCAGTGTGTCCTGGAAACAGGGGGAAATGATGGAGGGATGTGAAGAGGTTCCAGCATGGACCTTGGTCTGCCATCTAGTCATCTGGCTGCAACGGGTTCTCCTTTCATGAAGAAAACTGAGAAGATAGTTGGGCAAATTTCATGTCTAGAATGGCAAAATACTTGCCAGTAAAACCTTACGTTTCTGTGTTAGTCACCGCAAGCAGGCTCAGAGGAAATTGTCCTTGGGGTATGCAACAACAGACATCGACACCCTGCTGCTCCTAAAGGAAAGGCTGTTTTAACAGGTTAGAGACCAAATACACAAGAGTGTGGCAGATGGATCCAGGGCAAAGCAGGGTGCAGCTATAACCCATCAGCTATCCCACAGCAGCTGGGCTTGCAGACAGTCAAGTTCACACCCTCTCATTAAGACTTTGGCCACTTAACACTCACCATGGATATAAATTGACGGAGAAGCGATTCCTTCCGACTAGCTAGCACCCTGTGTACTCAAAGACCAGATTTCTTCACAATAGCATGCCTTTATGGCTGTCCCCTAAGAGAGACTCTCTCTCAGAAATCTGGGTTTTCCCAGAAAAAAACCCCATAAAGTAATACGAACAACAATAATAATAGTAACTGGAGACTTTTAAGGAAAAAAATAAAACTAATGCATGTTACTGAGGTGAACTCATGTTTTACCTGAGAGATGAGTCCCTTTATTTTTTCCCCTTCTTTTTAAGTTGCTCTCTTAGGTTAAAAAAAGGGAATATACGGAGTATGCCAGGAGCCTGCAACCATAGGCACTGCATTGTTGGGAGGAGGGAACAGAATTAGAGACTTTACCCAGTTGCACAAATGAAGAGACCAGCTCGCTGCAGGACATGAGTGTCCTGGCTGAGCATTGTTACCAATCTGGAGCAGAGCGGATGGCTTCTAATTAAGCAATTACAAGCAATACTCATTTTCCGTGGGTCTCTTACCTTCATTATCCCATTCCAGTTGTCTCCTGTGGATACTCGGAAGAGAGTCAGAAAGGCCATCCCAAAGTTTCTGAAGGTGGCGTGCCGTCCCAGCCCCTCGCAGGGGTGCGTGTCGTCACACTCTGTGGGACCAAGCACAGCTGTGAGACCCCTATTCATGCACTGCTCCCACCCCTTCCACCGGCACGGGAAGACTCACCAAGGTCTCCAAACAGCTCCACTCCAAGAGCTGCAAATATGAAAAACAACAACATGAAGAGAAGACCCAGATTCCCCACCTGGAAAGAGAAAAAGAAATGGGGGGAAAAAAACACAAAAAAAGAACATTCATTGATTTTTTTATTCCAGACCTGTTTCTTGCTGTATTCTTTAATCCAAAACTTAAATTGCTTCAGGGGAAAAATGACCTCAATGTAAGGACTGTATCTCAGACTGTGCTTCGAAAGGGAAATGTGATTCTCTAATGACAGTAAAGATAAAATGATTAGCATTCCTCTGCAATAGGAAATTAGCTCTGGGCCAGAGGAGATCTGGTTTGATATGGCAGTGGGTTACCTGCGGCAGCGCTTGCATCACGGTGTCCAACAGGGCTCTCATCCCCACAGCCATCTTCAGCAACTTCAACACTGCAGAAATCACGTTCATAATATGGTAACAGCAGCGTTAGCACGGAGGCACAAACTCAGTCCCTCTCCCAGGAGCCACAGATTATAGGAAGATAAATGTGAAATCATGTCAAGTGTTCTCCATTAGCAGCTATAGTCCCTGGCCTTTTTACATCGCTCCTGGTTGCTTGGATACTATTAAAATCCCGTGAATAGCAGCCACACCTATCCTGAGACTTGGAGAAAGTGTTATCGTTCTGCCTGCCTTTTCCTTTCCCCACCTTATCTGTGTTGGACCCATCTCCTTCCTCCTGTGGTTATCGTGAGCAGTTACTTTCCCAGCCCTGGGGCTACTTTCCCACTTCCATAGGCTACCCACTTTCACACATGATTCACTGAGGAGCTGGTTTACACATCTCTTCCAGAAGGTTGCATTTCCAATTGGAAAATGCATGTATTTTTAATTCTGAAAGGGATCCAGTGCACAGGATTGCATTTTTTTTCTCCCTTGAGACACAGTAGCATTTCATTTCTCCTCCAGTTCCTTCTTTGCTTAGATGAGGGCTGCAATCATAGCAATTGTGCCTCAGAGCACAACATTGCCCTTCAGGAGGGCCTGGGAGTACTTTATTAAGGGCCCGAGCACTCACGTTTTACGTCTTCGTCATTTGGCCCTGAGATCTCCCTGTTCTGAAAAATCAGGCCCTGAAGAAGCTGGCTTCCCAACTTGGGTACGTGTCGTTACAAGTCTGAGGGGACAGATGGATGTGGAGTGACGAGGCATGCTTTGTCACCACGTGGTGAGATGTAAAGTCCCATGGGAAATTAAATTTATTAGATGCTTGTTTTTTAAAGCCAACGTACTTGAGCTTGTGTTCTCTAATCCCCGTTAGAGACGACTTTGATTTGACTGGCATATTTTTTCCAGGTACATCTCTGGGAGTTACAGCCACAGCTATTTCTCCGTTATTTCTAAGCTCTCAGCCTTCAAGTCCTCTTAAGATATAAACACATGGTCAGTTGGCTCAGCTTTTTGGCTCCTCACAAGTATTTTCCCCCATTGTTCTTTCATTTGTTTACAGCCTGTTGATGCCAGAACTATGCACATCATGATGGGGATGTGCCCCAGAACCGTTTCCCAATGCTTAACTCTCTCCTGGAGGGGACCCTGCACCTCAAACACAAGTCAATTCTGCTTTATTTGTCTCACCTCGAGCAATCCTGAGAACCCTCATGATTCGGATAATAGTGGGGTTAATTGGTAGCGAAGCGTTCACCTCGATCTCTTCCAAAGTGATGCCCATGATAGACAGCAGCACGATTGCCAGATCTAATTGGTTCCATCTGGAGACAACACAAAATGAAGTTTAACATCTACTAAGAAGCTGGCAAGGGGAGGTAACTTGTTTCACATGAATTCCAATCATTTCAATGGTTCTAGCACTCAAATGAATCTGCAGCATTTTTCTGAGGGTATTATACAAAAGCAGTTATGTTATGAAATCATTATAACTAATACATCTCATTAGAAAATCAGCCAATTCCAAAGATATTCTTGACTGAGGGGAAACAGAAACAAAAGCTGGGCAGTTCTCTACCCAGAGGCTGCAGATCTCAGGGGAGATGCTGTGGTATCTGTCCAGCCATTTCTAGACATGACATTCGTGGACCTCACCATGAGATCTGCCCTAGAAAGAACCGGACCCTGTGTCCAGTCCTTGCAACAAAAACCACGCTGGGTGAAGGAAAGACCTCAAGGATTTGTGCCAGGTCGGAGAGAGGTGTAATCCCAGCACGGACACCCAAAACACGGGGAGGGTGGTGGAACCATTCCCTGGCTGCTAAAGGGCTCGTGTCAAGTCCTGCTCAGTGCCAGCGCTCTTGGTGTTAACATTGAAGGAGGCAAAAATGGGTGGAGAAAGATTCACCAAGGACATATTTGTGAGGTAAGAGAGTGAAAATCTAGAAAAGGAAGCAATTTCATCTGCTGCTAGCATCTGCTTTAAAAGAGATCCCTTTTCTCTTTCATTTCCACTCAGGACCAGATTCTCTCTCTTGGCATAAATTTTGTCACTTCACCAGGTCCTCTTGATTATATGGACACGCAACTGGTGTGAGAAGAGAACCAGCCGCTTGGAGTGAGACTCGCTCCTATTTCGTCCACCCTCAAGGGCCAAAGTGGTGCAATCACTCTCCTCGGCATGCACGATCCTTTTTCCAACTCACATCCCAGGCCTCCACCTACCCAGGTTTCAATCAGTCACACCAAAAAGCGTTCACACGTGTCAGACTGACATCACTGGGAAGAGCATCGGGGTCCAGGACACTGAATTTGGGCAGCTGTCTCCAGAAACCTACTGCTGCCCCCACGGTCAAGATGGAACTTTTGTTACCTGTCTTGGAAGAAGCGACGAAACCCAAAGGCGATAAGCTTGAAAACAGACTCCAGGACAAAGATAACGGTGAAGATGTAATTGCAAATCTTCAGGGCTTCATCAAGAACCTGGGATGTGGACAGAGGGCCGGGGTTAGATGCTAGCTCTGCTGAGGGGCTTTGCTGCCTGCAAACCTGCCCTCCTTTCACCAGTTACTCATTTCCAGATTATAGACAAAAGGCTCCAACTGTGGGCTCTCGCCGATGACAAATGTCCCCGGGAAAAGTCCCAGTACTTCAGGGAGTGCACAGCCTGCATTTCTGCTGGCCCCAACCCAGCCAATATAATTCACAGGAGGGCCTGACACAAACCCAAGGCACAACTCAAACCCCGCGGCAGTAACACAGCCCCAGCTGGGATCGCTTTGGGTGAGTGGTAAGAGCTGCTGCGTTTGCAGGCATCAGCAGCGCAAAAACCCTCGCGCTCTCGGCAGAAAGCTGAATTTCATCCCACTTGCTCGTTTGTGCACTGCTGCAAGAGCCGTGGGCTGGCCAGGACCGTGCAAGCGCTGGCCAAATGGCTTCTTTGTGACAGCCTGTCATTTACTCCTCACCTTGAGCTTTTGGCAAGGAGCAGAAGAGAGGGATGGCTTGCCAGCAAGAGAGAGTGCCTCAGGTTTTCCTCTGCCCACCCTTCCCTCTGCAGGTGTCATAACCTGGCCGTTAACTACAGATGCCTCCTGGCTGGGACAGCTCCTGCACAGTCGGGCATTAAGCCACGTAAGATATTATCTCATCCCAAAAGTCCTGCTCGTGAAGGAGCGCTGTGGTAGCAGCATCCCGCATGGCCTCTTAAGTAACATCCATCAAATGGGATGGTAATAACTGGGTCCAGAGCACTGTTAGGGCATGTGGGAGATGGCAACAGAGTGCTCTCAGACCAAAAATAAGACTTGCTGATCCCCAAGCGGGAGAAATCATACTAGAGGGAATTTAAGCCACGCACTCTGCCTTCATGTTACAGTTTAGCTTCAAGCAACCACCTCACCTGCCCAAGAAGCACAAGCCCAGCCACCAAAGGAAGCCGTGGCTCTGAACAAACCTCCCTGTCATACCACAGGGAACCTGGGCTCTGCCAGCAAATGAGCATATCTATTTGGCAAAAGCAGGTTTTGCCCAGTGGCTCTTTGCTCGAACCACCTCTACGCACACGGCAGCCCCTCCTCTCTATGGGCAGCCGCAGCATCTCCGGCTGGAATCTCATCCACAGGGCATCCCGGGGTATCCCACCACCAACCCCTTTCAGCACCAACATGCCGAGCAATCGTTAGTTTAGATATAAAGCTCTCTGGTATGTTTAGCCTTTTAATTATCTGCAGGATCCCAGCCGTCAGTCACCCAGACCAGAGTGATTTTGGGGCCCTGATTCAGCAGGGCTCTCAAGCATGTGCCTGGCTTTAATGGTGCTGTCATCTCAGCACAGCCCAAGCTTGGAGTTATTAGCCAGATGCTGCATACCAGAGGCTTAGAGACAAAATGTTATTTTCCTAAAGAAAATTAAAAACAAAAGCCTGCCCAGCATTTTTATAATACAAGAGAAAATGTAGCTACAAAACGACTGCGGCAAGACGCACGCCCTAGAGCTATTCCAATACAGGCTCCATAGCCAACAAACTTTTTCATCACCAAATGACTGAATCATGCAATGAGCCTTCCCGGGTATTTAAAGGTGACCTAAACAAAAAAAAAATAAATTGGGCTTGTGCCCTTTCACTTTTTGGCTTCTTTATGATAGGCTGGAGGATATTTTTCCCCTCGCTTGCATGTCTTTGTTGTTTGGGTTTTTTTACATTAAGTATTCAAGTCCTGTCTAGTCTTAAAGAATATTTCCTCCTATTGTGTGTTATATTTATTCATTCTGAAAGTGGCTAATAAAAATAAGTACAAGTTATATGGCAAAGGCAGCTATTTCCATTTCATTCTTACGCACAAGAGACTTGACATCCCAGGACAGGCTGTTTTTATTTTCAGAGTATGACAAAGACCCAGGAACTTAGCACACTGATATATTAAAAAGTATTTTAAAGACCAGCATGGAATCCTGTGAAAATTGGGCACTATGGGACATTGAGGATTTAGAAGAAACTTTGCAAAAAGAAACGTTTCACAGATTCTACTATTCTTTTTTCTTTTTCTCCTTCTTTTGGTGGAAAACCTAAGTCAAACGGAAGATTTCAATGACAATCTCATCTAGCAAACCAAACAAACCTGCTCCCATCCTTGTTTTCAAAGCAGTCTGTTTGCACTTAACTAGAAGGGAAAGGTGCAACGGGATCCAGGTACCAAAAGGCACAGTTTGAGCTGGAAGCCAGATGAAGGATGGTACGCTCCATGGGGCAAAGGGCCAGGTTGGGCATGGTGAATGGGGGCCCCGAGGTCTAACAGCAAAATTGGCCTTACCTCTGCCCATCAGCTGAGCATGTGCCCCCACTGCTTTTTCCCCTTCTCTGTCCCAGTACCTTTGGCTGCTGGTAGTGCTCCATGGCCATGGTGATCACGTTGAGACCGATCACTCCAGTGATGAACAAATCCAGGTAGTGGCTGGTGCACATCTGGTGGATCAGGAGGCGGAAGCGGGAGTAATCCGAATAGTAGGGCTTACACTGTGCTTCTGCAGTGGGGAGGAGGAGAGCAGAGAGGCACGTCAAGTCATTTCTCTGCGTCTTTCTGAAGTCAACGCACCCTCACTTTCCAACTCCGGAGATGATAAATTCTAGACTGATTACAGCAACATGCTGTCTTTTTTTTTTTTTTTTTCTTTTTTCTTGCTGGCATGTTACCATTTTTAATACACAGCAGGGCTCCCGTCATCTTACATCCATTAAACATCTTCAGGGGGACATGCACTATACTCAGCCTTATGGCATCAGGGATGAGGTGAGCTGGGACTATTGTGCTGCTAAAGAATGTTTTCCCTGTAGGGATAAACTGAATTTAAATTAAAACAACAGTTTTTGTTTCTGCTGATCTTAAAAGATCTTAAAAGTTCCAGAAGTATCCAAAGGCCCATTAATGGTCAGATGTTGGGGACAGATTTTACTAACAATGGCTTAAAAATACAGGCCATTGAGTTAGCGGTTATCTTTGAAAGAGAAGTAATTCAGTCATATTATGTTCTTTGCAGTAAACTGTAGAGAGAACAAAATTCAACACTTTGGCTGTCAGAGCCCTGAAAAATAGTCCATAAAAATACCAAGGAAAACCGATCAGTCAGCCTTAGCGATTAGAAAATAATGATCCTCCGTTTAGACAAGATTATCAAAGTACAGATTTCACTGTTCAACTCATTCCCGTGTTCGGCTGCCTCAGGGATGACAGATGCTCTTTAGACCCCAAATGTTCCTAGAGATAAACTCATTTACTCACCTAATCTCTAATGAGGAAATGCCAAGGCTGAGTATATAATTCAGTACAATTTTCAAGGAGGCATTATAATGCAGATTGAAGTGGAAAGGACTGTCTTGAATATGTCAGAGTATAATATTACTCTCATAATTAGATGATCAACTGGTTATGAAAATTATTGAGCTGTAAGAATTACATGGTTTGATATTTAGTGGTGCTGAGCAAATGTACAGTTTGATACATTACTCCAAGCAAAAAGTTGGGCAGAACGAAGCCACGAAGCACAGGTTTGGGTTGCCCTCAGGGAAAACTAATTTTAGAAGATTAAGTTTTGCCTGGAAATAGAATTCACTTTGTCAATAGCCAATGACATTGCAATCAAACCCATAGATTTAATGGTTTCATGTGTTCCCTGTTTCGTAACAGGATCCTGAAAAATCAGAGTTTTGTTTGTTCCATAGAGACAGACCTTTCCCTTACAGCCCAGGGACCAGAGAGACAAATCACTCAGCAGTTTTATTCTGTAGGGGTTTGGAATGCCCAAAATTCTGCTTCAGCGTCATGAAATGAAAGGCAGTATTAATATTCACTTTGTGATCTGCAGTGTGCTTTAGGTGATCTGTACCTCAGTGCTAAAGCACAATATCGATGAAAAGGTCTATATAATGAATTTTCATGCTGAATCTATTGAGTGCTTACAAAAAAGCAGACTGGTAGCTGCTGACTCATTCATAAGACTTTGTCAAATATCTCAGAATCTGCATAAATCTCCATAAAGTCAAGATATCTTGATCACATTATGCTAAATTATGAGTAGCAAATTAACTAAAATGTTTGAATACAATTAGGTTAGGAATAGGACCTATTTTTATGAACCAACTTACATCTCAGAAAGAAACAGCATCGTAATTGGATCACTTCTACATTTATGTATAATTCACATTCAAAAAGGAAAATGTCAACGTTTCTGCCTTTTCTTGCAGTGGATTTACTTATGAATAATTACACTGGAATTCAAATTTTTCTTAGCTTTGACGGACAGGTAATTCCAAATCCTACAGAACAGCACTGATGCCGTTAGAACAGAGAGAGGATTTTAGAGAGAGGTTGTAAAATGTCTCCTGTGCAGGGTTCCTGCACCTGGATTAGCCAGTACATGGCCTCATAAGCAGGGTTGCTAATTGTTCACATATCTGCCAAGGCTCTCCCCCTTTGCATCCCCCTTATCCCAAACGCCAAAACTCCTTTTCACCTTTCCCAGCACATGCCCCCAGGTTTCCACAGCCAAACGTCTCTGGACGCTGCTGTTCCAGATGCGCTTGCAGCCATAGAAAATTACCATTAGTAAATGTTTCATCCTTCCCCGTTAACCTTGTTAAGAGGGGTTTTGTCAACCCTGTTCATGAATCATGCCACCACTCGCCTCACCGGTCGCCGCATGCCGGCCATGCATATTAGTGCAATACAGATATTACCGTGAGATGAACCACACACAAGCTGGCATGCTGTCCGAGGACTATAGATAAATAGCTACTGTGTGTAGGTGGGCAGGGAACTTTCTGAACAGATAAACCATTTTCTTGCTATTGTATAAATACCATTTATTTTACCCCACCTGCACAGTTCTGCAGAGAAGTTGGGTGTTGCTCGTGTATAACCATCCAAGTGCAAAGCCCGTGTCCCCTATCACACAGTATCGTTTCTAATTATTGCAGTAAAGTTCTAAACAATACCAACATCTTGGGAAATACAGACATCTGTTAAACTCCAGGTGGTGAACTTCACAACTAACACAACACCAAATTACTGTACTGTTACAATACACTGTGTCAAGAACAACAAGAGCTCTGGGTTAGTCTTGGTTATTACTGGAAAGGTTAACTTGGCTTCCCGGCACACATGGCGTTAAAGAAAAGAGGAGGAGAGCAAATGAACAAAAGAAGAATTGGCAGAATGAGAATGTCAGAAGACGGGGAAATACAGCAAAAGCCCACTATGAGACATCAGGCTGGTGAACAGGGTGTAAATCAAGCTGCTTCACCGTGGCTGGAGGCCAGGAGTGGGGGAGAGGGAGAAGTGGCTCAAATTTAGATATCGTTACACTGAAGAAAATCAGCTCAGACAGTGGAGCCTGAGCAATCTTCTCCTAACCCAGGCAGGAAGGAGGTTTTGCAGCTGGTTGAGAGCTGGCTTGGGAGAGTCCCACCTGCCCATTCATCCTGGGCGATGGTGCCTAAGAGGACCGCGCCAGCAAGGGGAGCGGGTGCCTGGCACGGGGGGCACTCAATTTTAATTTATCATTTTTATGGGCTCTCAAGTTGTTTCCCAAGCAGACATTCTATACTCCTCTTGGCATCATCCCGTGGGATTATAATTGATCCCCTTGGCAAGGTCTGGGAGGCAGAGCACAACAGCCCCAGCTTGCGTCCTGGGGTAGCCAAACTCATCGCTGTCCTCTCTTGCCCCTTTGGAAAGGCAATGACCATTGCTTCTGCAGGATAAATATTTCCCATTCCTGAGCCTGCTCCGACTTCTCCCTTTGGCTTCGGCAATCACAGCCCAGGTTTGGGATATTAAGCCCTGTGCTGCTGTTTGTCTGACAGCTCTAGGACGTGACCTGCGAAATGGCACCAGTGACCAGCAAAGCAGTGCGGGAGGCACCCCTGGTTTTGCCAGGCAGTGCCACTGCCAGCTCCCAGAGGGTCCCAGGGCTCGGCCGGGCTCTGCCAGTGCTGCCCGAGATGGGGCTGGGGAAAAAGCCACTATCTTCCCATTAACTGCATTTTCTTGGGGGGAATCAGGCTGGGCATGCGGCTCTGAAATATCTCTGGATAGCGGCTGCCTCCGAATATAGCCCTGTCAAGAGAGAAATTGCCACTTTCCCCGAGGTGGCTTTTGAGCCGGAGGTGCGTGGGCACAGGAAATTGGAATTCACGAGAGTGGGACAATTCCATTACTGTCTCCTCCAGCTTCTTCCTTCTCCTATAATAAGGGAATTAACTACTTTTCAGGTCTGAGTATATCTGGAGGACAGCGGCAAACCAGTGAGCAATGAGCCCGTGACGCAGCTGGATTTACAAACTGTATCAAGAATATTATTAGGTTAAAAAGTAGTTTGCGCTGAAGGAACTTCTTTTATTTAAACACAGCATTTTACTTGGCTTTTATTGTACTGAATGGATTCATTTAAAAAAAAAAAAAGCAAAATGGAAAATGGTAAATTATTTCCACTGAGAAGATTCCAGTTGTGATAGAATGTAGACTTGGGAAAAAAAAAAAAAAGGAAAAAATAAAATTATAATATCTCACTAAGCACCAGGCAGCAGCACACACACACAGACACAGTACTCCATCTTATCTTCACAGAAAGAGAAAAGAAGCCCTCTGTAAGTGCAGAGATGTGTGGAAGCTTTGGGGTCACAACTCCAGATTTCTCATTGAACCACGGGAGGTTCAGCTACAGCACCTGGGACTGATGCCCTAATATCCCCAACAGTCAGGTTCAGAAATAAAACCTTTCTATTCCCTCACACCAGTGCCTGAAGAGCAGCATGGCACATTCACTACCACTGGATCCAAAGAAAAGACAACAAAAGGAAACACAAAGCACAGACCTGACAATTGCACACATTTTAAAGGCAAACTCTAAGAGTCTTTCTGAGCCTGCGTGGGATAACGGAGGGGTTTGGAATGAGTTCAATGCCTTAAAAATAAAATAAAATAAAATAAAATA